TTCTATTGCATCCTATAATATTTTCACAGCCTAGGAGAAATCAGTTTCTTTTTAAAAAAAATTGTCATTCTGGTTGTCAAAAGAGGTAGCAGCAACCTATTAATGTTTTGAAAAAACAAGTTGGGCTGCTTTTGGAAGTTGGGTTTCTTAGTTCATTCAAAAATATTTACTGGATGTATACCATATGCCAAACGTTTTTACCTTCACAGTATACAGCTGTGAACAAATTGAACAAGTCCCTAACTACTTCCAGCATTTGGTCTAGACAGGGTGAGGTGACAGCTGCCCTTGTGGCTCTTGTCTGACCTATGTCTAGCCACTCTCTATGAAAGCCCCCTGACCAAGAAAGAAGTTAGGTTTGGGTGTGTTAGTCAGGTGAGACACGGAGAAGGCAAGCAAACAAAACACATAAACTAACAGAAGCAGTTTTATTACTTAAAGATTCCAGAGGGAAGAGGGCAGCTGGCTTCATAGACCAATGGGAAAGCAGGGTACCCTCAGAGCCATGCACGCTCAGCCATCGGGTGGATAGCGAGGGAGAGAGAGAGAGAGAGAGAGAGAGAGAGAGCGAGAGAGAGAGAGCGAGAGAGAGAGAGAGAAAGAGACAGAGACAGAGAGAGAAACAGACCTGAAGGCCAAAGTCTTTTCTAGGGTCTACAACATTACTCAAGCAGAGAGTGGATTAATTGGTAGATTCAATCAGGAACAGGTTCTTGGAGGTTACGTTGTTTTGAGAGGTGGTCACTGCAACATATCTCTGCAGTTCATGTGGGGTGTTGGGATCAGTGGGATGAGTTAAGTAGGTTGTATCTAGGTGTTCCACAAGGAGGTGATCTCCAGGAAGCCAGATATCTGTACTGACCACCTTGAGGAGCTGGGAGAAGGGGGAAACTGGAAACTGTGTCAGGAGTGACTGAGCCTCGGTTCTGGTATGAGAAAGTCCAACATACTGAAAATAGATGGTGAGAAAACATAAAATTATAAGAATTCACTAGAGATATCATTGCAGCATTATTCAAAGTAGCCGAGATATGGAAGAACCCATAATGTCCACCAACAGAGGACTGGATCAAGAAAACTTGATATAGATACACAATGGGATACTATTCAGCTTAAAGAAAAAAGGAAATTACAACAACATGGATGAGTCTGGAGAACATTATGCTAAGTGAAATAAGCCAGACACAGAAAGACAAGTACCACATGATCCCACACTTATGTGGAATCTATAAAGGCCAAACTCACAGAAGTGGAATGAAGAATAGTGGTTACTGGAGGGTGGGGGGTGGGAGAGAAAGGGAGTGGGTTAAGGGGAGATGTCACTAAAGGGTACAGAGTGAAGACAGGAGGAATAAGTTCAAGAGATCTGTTTTATTGCATGGTGACTATAGTTAATAATATGGCATTGTCTATTTAAAAAATGCCAAACAGGTAGATTTGAAATGCTTTTACCAAAAGATAAGTATGGGAAGCAATGTCTATGCTAATTAAGTTTGCTTAATCATTCTGTATTGTATACAGATATCAAAACATCTTATTTTGTTGCCTAGATATATAGTTATTATTTGACAATTAAAGATAAAATAATAAAATATTGGAATCATATTTAAGTTATTTTCTAAACTTTTGCAGGGATAAACTGGAAATTGAATTTAAAAGATAGGAAGGCACCAGTGGTATAGTTCAGCTCCAAAGGGTACATTTTTAATAAGGGAAAGATATACAGTTTAGTTAATTATTATTATTTTTTGAGTCAGAGTCTCATTCTGTCACCCAGCCTGGAGGACAGTGGCACCATCACAACTCACTGCAGCTTCGACCTTCTGGACTCAGGTGATCCTTCCACCTCAGCCTCCCAAGTAGATGGGACTACAGGCGCAAGCCACCATGTCCAGCTAATAGCTTAGTCTTTATGTTTTCCAATTTTCCTGTTTAATAACTCCAAAACCTCTCTGACTTTTAACCAGTTGTCTTGTAAATTTGAGCCTTAGTCTCATGGGGAACTCTTAAAAAAAAACCACCAAAAAAAAATCCAGATGATGCAGTATAACCCATTTCCTATATTGTAAATATAACTCAGCATTTTTTAAAATGTTAGTTGGTGATAAATTCATTGTTATCTCAGTGAGACTTCAACATTGTGCTGAATGTATTTCTGTGAAGAGTTTTGCTCTGCGAACATCAAACCATGGACAGCTTCTTAGAGGGCATTAATTACAACTTTGGGATTTATCCTCCCAAAGGTCCCAGTTAAGGAAATAAAATCCTATTATTCTTTTTGTTTCCATAAAGGTTCTATGTGCTCTGGGATAAGGGTTCCATCCCCTGATACCTTGAATGCCCTAAAGTGTGTTCACATTCTGCTAAAAGCAGATCCTTTGGACAAGTTCAGGCTGTCTTTTCTGTGGCAATGATAATCATAGTTATTTTTAGACTCTCTTCTCCATAGTTAAATTTAGTACTCTGGCAAAAATAAATGACTGTTAGTAATAATAAGGGGAAGAAGAGAGTGCTAAGCCATCCATTTTCCTACAGTGTTTGCTTTAGAAGAAGAGAGAAGTTATTTTATTCAATAGCTCATAAAAGCTACATTTGATAGCGTCTTCATTTGCTCTTTTACATCAAGAAGAAAATCAAAGTTCCAGACTTTTCTCCACTTGAGCTCGCTGGTTTTTTTTTTTTTATCCCTTATTTTCCATCCCCTTTTTCATCTATTGAAGAATGCTGAAAGACAGATCATAAAACAGATAAATATTACAGCTGTCACTTACTTTTAATTAATGTAGTAAAGAACTCAGGTAGCTGCATAAGGGAGAAAATTATGTCTGATTTAGAGAAAGTATCCACAACATTTGAGTTCAAATATTTTATGATATATTACCCTTCATTCTAGGGAAGTCAAAAAATTATCTTGGAGTTTTTCCATTATCTCTAAAAAAGTCATTGATCATTTACATTACCAATAATATGGAAGGATGTACAGATAGATATCTTTGTACCTGTCTGGATTAATCTTACAGACTTGGCTCAAGTTCAATGTTCCTAGCTCTTCAGCTGTAACTCAACCAATTAATTAGACACCTTCTACATCTTTTTCAAAAGTCAAGATTACAATATTTGAGTATTTATAAATTTTTGAAAAGACTGAAGGTAAGGTTGTGGTTAGATTTATCTTTTGCTATATTCTATCAGAATATGAGTGGAAGCATTTGGCTGTGGGAGAAGGAGAGCAGAAGTGGCATGGCAAAGCTACTTAGGAGTGTTTAAATGGTGATTTCCTATATTTTATAGCAAAAACTATATCAAAAGAGTGTTTATCTTTCCCATGAAAGATTGATAATACACAAGAGGATAAGCAACTGAAAATCAAACTATCACAGCACATTTGAATTACTTTATTAATTACAAAAGAATAAGGTCAAGATGAATTTGTCATTGGATTTTATGCAAGGTTGACTTATCTTTGTCTATTTATATTAGTTAATGTCTATTCAGAAACTCCATTACAAATTGCAGAAAACCCCGAATATATAAATAATAAATTATGATTCAGAATTTAAGTTGAATCTCAGTTATTGCCCTAAAAAGTATGAAATTTTGTAGAAGCTATATTTAAAGTCCTGTTGTCCATGTCTCACAGCCCTGTCGTATGTGCGATTTCAACTTCAGTTGCCACAGTCAGAGTTCTACTCTTCTTTTTTGCATCAAAATACCCTCTCTTTCTCTCTTCTTCTTTTTTTGAGTTGGAATCTCACTCTGTCACCCAGGCTGGAGTGCAGTGGCACGCTCACGGTCACCCCAGTGTCTACCTGCTGGGCTCTAGCAATCCTTCCACCCCAGCCTTCAACATAGCTGGAACTACAGGCATGCATTACTGCACCCGGCTAATTTTCTGATTTATTGTAGAGACGAGGTCTCATCAAGTTGCCCAGGTTGATCTCGAACTCGCGGGCTCAGGCAGTCCACTTGCCTCAGCCTCCCAAAGTGCTGGAATTACAGGCTGAGCTAACGAGCCCGGCCTCTTTCTCTCTTCTTAAACTCTGTAATATTTTTAATCTTCCAACATTATTTATATTCACATTTACTTTTGGACGAATTCCATCAATGATTTCTCCAATTTCCCTCTTTATTAATCAGCTATGCTTATTTTGTGAATACTCATAAATTGTGTGTGTGCACATCTCTGTTCATACTTTCATTTACATGTTATTTTTTGTCTAGAAATAAGTTGCTAAAATAAATAAATTAATAATGTTTTATTTTTTCAATAACCATATCAATTATTTTTTCAGCTAATATCAGCATTTTACAGTTACTACCATGTTGCTTTTACCACATGGAATACACCTATCTGTATTTAAAATTCTTAAGACTGCAGATATTCATTTTTCTGTAACTGTAGCATTGGAAGTAGCTTTAAAATGTGGAAAAAGAAAATAAATTTAATTTTTTAAAAATAAAGATTATTTTTTATTAAAATTGTCTTTCTCAGCTGGGCTCGGTGGCTCAGCCTATAATCCCGCACCTTTGGGAGGCTGAGGTGAGTGGATTGCCTGAGCCTGCGGGTTCGAGACCCGC